TTCTTCTATCAAAACAAGTTATCTGACAAAAATAATTTGTTAATTAAACTTCAAATTTTGTAATTCAAGTCGCTTTTCATAAATCTTGAGCGAGATCAAAAAACCAAATATTGATTTGTGTAAAATTAAAATTTCAATTGTTATTTTTGTCTTTGAATTTGAAAAAGATGATTGAAGTATTTTTGGATAAGTATATTAATTTGCTATAGCATTATTTTTGATATAGTTGTGCATTGCAACTTTAAATAAGTAATATTAATTTGTTTAGTTGTGCACCGTAACTTTAAATAAGTGATATTAATTTGTATAATTATGTAATACAACTCTAAATAAGTAATATTTTTTTAGTTATTTATTTTTTTTGATATTGAAAATATCAATACTCTTTTCTTTAGTTAGTAACCCTTATTAGTTAATCATCTCTTTGAACACATTCTCCCAACCTCTCTTTTCATCTTTAATAAAATTATTTAACAATTTCTGTCAAAATTAGCATAGGCTTAGATACTTATTTTTGCATTAACCAATTTTCTTAGTCTATTTCTTTCCTCCAACTTATATGACTTTTTTATTAATAGTAAAAAAATTCTTTATTTAAAGTAACTATAGCATTACAAAAGTTAATAATATGAGTAATAAAAAAAGAATTCATATTATATCAATATATTTATGTGATATTATCAATTATTAATACAAAAATCAAGTTCAAGAAAATACTACATGACCTATATATTATAATGATATTAATAATCAAGATACTTCTTTTAAACCATATTTTCTAAATAAATTCTATATCCAAACTTAACTATTACTATAATAATAATAATTAAATAATTATATTCAAAGTGCAAACAAATTAGTTAGTTAATATGTAATTGATATTTGTTTACTATTTTACAAAATTGATTTAGACAATACCTATCCAACTCAATACAAAATTCATGAATTTATCAAAGATCTCAATTTATAATATGCTGTTATAATTGGAAATTTCTATAATTTTTATAATCTTTATAAACTCCAAAAATATCATAAACTCTGTATTCTTTATAATTTTTATATATTTTGTAATATGAATTTTGATATATCACATAATTTTTCATAGTTTATTTTAATTGAATAATTGATTTATAAATCATATTCATATTTATCTGTATTTATCTCATATTATTTTTATAATATTTTATTCTATTCTTATTATATTTTATATTATTCTATTTTATTTCATACTATTTTATTCTATTTTTATTTTATTTTATACTATTTTTATATTATTTCATTCTATTTTTATATTATCTCATTCTATATTATTTATAATTCATACTAATCATATTTAGTTCATATTATTATTATTAATATGAAAAACATGTGTTAATCAATTTATATAATCAAATTTGATTGATATTAATAGTAAATTTATGTAACATTAGAGTAAGCAATACATAATCATCAAGCGAGCAAGTGATGCATAATCATCAAGTGAGCGAGCAATATATAACTATTAAGTGAGTGCTTTTTGTAATCATAATATCAATCAAAAATAATTTTAATATTAGAAGATTGAGTAATAATAATTTGTATAAATATAATATATATCTTAGCTTAAAAAAATAATTTTTTGAGATTTAGAATCTTCTTATAGATTAATAATTTATATATACTTTTAAATCTTTTTAGATTTAATCTTCTTATTTTTTAATTTTCTTTGACAAAATCTTTCTATAAGTGAATATTATAAGTTTTGAGTTAGAAATTTTCAGTCAAGCATTAATTACCCTTTTTTTCTTATTTGTATTCTTTATTATTTAAAAGATCTCTTATTTGTAACAAGCAATGTCATTTATAATAATATAATTAACCTCTCATTATTACTCTGTGAAGTTAATTAATATTATTTAGATTTATAATAAAAAAAAGTTAATTTTATTAAAAGTTAATCAATAAAAGAAGATTACTTAATAATTAAATCATTTGAATTAAAAGAAGATTTCTAAAATTATTTTAGCAGTTTAACAAAATAAACATGTCATTACCTATCTTTATTAAATTAGTCTCTTCCAACTTTAATTACTTTAAATATATAAAAATCTTTAATAACTCTTCTACTTAATTGAAACACATAAAAAACACATGATCTATACTTGAAAAATAATAAACCAACAGAAATAATAACAAATTTTTGGTGTCTTCTCTGTGAAAAAGAAATTTTCAATAGTATTAAACTATAAAAAAGAAATTCTCAAAGAATTAAATAATTGGAAAAGAAATCTTCAAAGGTATCAAATACAATAAATCAATTAGTAAACAAACTCTTTGTGGATGATCACCTAAATTAATAAATCAAATTGGATCCAATATAATCAATTAGTATTAAAATAAATTAATTATTTGAAAAACTAAGAGATAAAGTTAATTTAAAAGAAATTTTAATCAGAGAACAACTCAAGGAAATAAAACAACAAATAATTAAAAATAATTGGTAAAAGTTATATAAGAAATACAATCACCAGACCAATTAATCAACTTAGTAGATTACTAAAACAATATTTTTATCAAAATGAACAAGAAATTCAAATATATATATTATCTACAACAAGATATTACAAATTTTTTAATACAAAGAAAAGCTTACCAAAGATAACAAAAACTTCAAAAACAATTAGTTGAACTTTGGAATTCAAAAAATTAAATTGTAATCCAAAGTGATCTATTAATAAAAATTATTAAAGAAGATCAAATTGAAGAAGAAGAATTTCAACAACAAACTCCAGTTCAAATTTCAAATCATCCCAATTCAGAAAATAATTTATTATCAATAATGGATAATCTTCAATTCAATACCTTAATAACCAATTTGGATAATTTAGCTGATGTAATTAATATTCAAATAGTTATACTAGCACCTCCAAGAGAATTATTATTTGCAAAAATAGTTGACTTTTATAATAATAGTCAAGATCCATTGAATAACTATAAGACTTTGAAAATGTATATTAAGCAAATAATATAATTAATACAAAAAAAATAATAATTGTTAGAGCTTATTTAAAAGAATCTGGTACCTGATTAACAAATAAATATATAACAATAGCAAATTAATCTAAACAATAGAATTCAAATACTTCTGGTAATGCAATTGATGAATAAGTATCATTTACATATCAATTCAAACTATAATTTAAAACAGTTAAAAAAATATATGAGTGACAACAACAACTCAATCAAAGAAAACAATTACCAACTGAAAATGTAAAATAATACTCATCTGCTATAAGAGAATTGTTATGTCAAATTAATCCAACAAATGCTTACCCAGTTCACTTATAAGTAATGTTATTTTTGAAAGATCTAAAACCAAAAATCAAATTTTGCTTCAGTCTATTCAGATTAATAACTTTAAATAATGCTATTCAAACTACATAACTTTATGACTCTAGTTATAAACAAGTTAATTAGTTCAATAGTCAAATAATAACTACACTAAATTTATTTAATATATCAGTTATACCAAATTAAATAGTACAAAATCTATTGGTAAAACAAATAGAAGAATTGACCACAAAACTTAATTAGTTAACAATGAAAAATAATAATAATCAAAATAATTAACAAAATAATAATTAAAACTTATCTAACATTAATTATAATTTATATTAATCATATTTAATTCATATTATTATTATTTATATAAAAATATATGTTAATTGATCTACATAATCAAAATTAATTAATATTAATGGTGAAATTTATGTAACATTAGAGTGAGTGATGTATAATCATCAAGTGAGTGAGCAATAAATAACTATCAAGTGAATGCTTTTTGTAATCATAATATCAATCAAAAATAGCTTTAATATTTGAAGGTTGAGTAATAATAACTTGTATAAATATAATATATATCTTAATTTAGAAAACTAATTTTTTTAGAATTAATCTTCTTATACTTTTGAATTGTCTAGATTCTTAATATTAATCTTCTTAAATTATAATCTTTTTATCCACTTTAATTTTCTTAGAAGTGAATTGTATTATAAGTCTTGAGTTAGGGATTTTCAGTCAAGTATTAATTACTTCTTTTTCTTTTTTATTTATATTCTTTTATATTTAAAAAACTTTTCATTTGTAACAAGCAACATCATCTATAATAATATAATTAACCTCTTGTCATTGCTCTATGAAGTTGATTAATATTATTTAGATTTATAATAAAAGAAGAAAATAATTTTATTAAAAGTTAATTAATAAAAAAAGATTACTTAATAATTAAATCATTTGAATTAAAAAGAAGATTTCTAAACTTATTCTAACGATTCAACAAAATGAATACATCATTATTTATCTTTATTAAATTAGTCTCTCCCAACTTTACTTATCTTAAACACATAAAAATCTTTAATAACTCTTTCACTTAATTAAAATACATAAAGAACATGTGATCTATATTTAAAAGATAATAAAATGAATGGAAACAGTAACAATAGTTACTCTATTATATATAAATATAGTAAAAAAACTCATTGTAATTATAGTTCTGTTATAATTATTCAAGTTTGCTTTTTTAGTGTGATAATTATAAAAATATTTGACTATATTAATAACTTGAAGATTTTTATTTAATATTGTTTTAAGATTAAAATTAATTATTTGCAAAAGCATCCAACATAATCCTTGTAGTAAAATCCTAGTCATGGCAAAAAAAGTTATGGATCATGTAATCTGAAATAGGTCCATTAAAATATTCGATTAATATTAGATATCAAGTATTAGGATTGGGTTAGAAATAAGTTAAGATTATATATAAAAATATCTATTTTTTGTTTTGCCGGGTTGATCAAAAATTTGCTACATTTTTATTGGTTGCGCATAATTTTTGCGCATTCTTATTGGTTGGATTGGTTCATCATCACATGACCCGTAACTTTTTTTGCCGTGGCTAGGGTATCTTGATTTAATCGGATGGTCACAATAAACAAAAATCGCTCAAAAAAATTTCATTTTGAATGTCCGTTGTTTATAAAGAAATATCTAGACTTACTTTATCCAGTGAAGATAAAACAGCGCTTCGTGTCTTTCTTACTAATAATCAAAATACAAAAGAAGAGGTGGATGCGGTTCTTATAACAATTGAAAATGATGATGAAAAGATAAATTATTTGAAGAATTTCTTGCAAGAGCAAGGAAAGCAAAGTAAGTATCACGACTGCATTCGAATATACCAAACCTACACTGCTTTTCTCACTGTCCTTTGCCTTTATTTCTTCCATTATTTATCAGAACGAAACAAGGGTAGTACAAAAAAACTCGAGCTTGATATCACAACTCCATCTCAAGAGATGGTTCGGTTTATAAATGAATTATCTAATATTCAACTTGATGTCAATGATAAATTTCTGATACTTCCGGATAATGTTTGTTTTGAAGGCAAGTCTCACTACCGCTCCAACTTATTCATACAACAATGTTATCGGGATCTTGCAAAGATTATATTGGAAATAGTGAATGGCGGATCGAAAGATCCGTACTTCATGATTCATGATAATCCTGGAATTGGAAAAACCTACTTTGTTTACTATCTGTTGCACTTATTGCTCCAGCATGATAACACTATAGTATGGGAAAAGTCACGAAATGTCAGTCAAGCAGTCTTAATTACTGGACCTAAGAACGCTCTCATCATTCAAAAAGCCCACTTGAAGCATTTGGAGAAAAAAAATATCTGGTATATTGTTGATGGAATATCACCAAAAGATGTTGTAGCAAGAAAAATACTCCTTTGCTCAATCCGCAAAGAATATTTTTCATGAATACCGGAAATTCCATCATGTGGATACACGTGTAATGCCAGTATGAACAGAAGAAGAGATTGAAGAATGTCGAAACCGATTATACAGCAATCTATCCACTGATTTTGTTTTGACATTGTATAGCAAGTGAGGAGGAATACCACGTTTTATCCTTGAGAATGCTAATAACAAAGATTTCCAGAAAACTCTCTTGAAAAACCTCGTAATTTAATCATATCATAAAATGTCCTGTTCACTTCTCTGATGATGTTACCCATCAATATTTACAAATAACAGTCGAAGAAAATTACAGGCAAGGCCTATGAAAGAGAAGAAAGAGCGATTTTTTGATCGTTAGCAAAGGAATAGCAGAGACAAGTAGCCTTCGGGGAAATTTGTTTGAAGGGTATTCTCATAATCTCATTAGACGAGGACATTTTCGTATCAGTTCGCTGAATACTTCATTAACTGCTGATGAAATTGTCAGTATTCAAGAAACTGAATTTGAAAGCTATGGAAAAGTTGATGAAATCATCAATACAGTACCAAATATTTTCCACCAAAATCAAAAACATTTTGTGCAATTGACTCGCTCATTCCTCCAAACCAACTTTTCCAAATGACCGTCAGTCAAAATCATGGAACCAAATACCTTGGCTTGGAAAACATTGTCAAAGTTTTATTACCTATGTCTGAAAAAAAATACGTTTATACTTTGTTGTCCCTGAGGATATCTATGCTGATTTCAAAATGCGGAATTATCTCACCGTAAAGGATACAGTTGCTTTATGTATACCTACAATCATTACCGACCGAATTGAACAATATGGGGGTGAGTCAACAGAAACCAAGCAAATTATATATGTAATATATATATAATTTGCTTGGTTTCTGTTGACTCACCCCCATATGTTCTTGAAATACAAACTTAAAGACTGAGTATTGGTATTCAATTTATAATTATATATTATAACTATATTTACTAGTTTCAAACAAATACACGATAAAAAATAATAAAGTTTATGTTATGCTTATTATTCATTAAAATTTATTTTGTATTATTACATTTTATACATTGAGACCGAAGTAAAAATATTTCGAGCTCATATGGCTATTTTAAATTACTGTTCAACCTAATTTTCGTAAAAATCTGCAGAATTTTTATCTTTCGAAGTGCATTACGTGTGGATATCGATATCGATGTGCATATTCATGAATTTTGTGCAACTCTGATCGTGAATTTTATTATAAACTCGACGCGTCGAAATATGATGTTTTTTTTAGCTATTGTCGTTACAGCATTTTTAACTCTTCCACGGGATTGGCGAATCACCAGCATATAAAGCATGAATGTATATTTAAGATTTATAGAGTTCAATAAAATGTTTTTTACAGGCATACACATAATTAAAAGCTCAATCATATATATTATTTTCTGTAACAAATATATTGAGAGAGTAAGAGGCCGGCTAAGTAAAAATGATAGAGAAGCAGGATTTCAAGTAGTGATATTTTGTGGTTTATGTGGTTTACAGTGATTTAAGTAAAATTGCTTATAAAATTTATTATCATTTTTAATAACAAATTTAATCTATATAATATAATTTACAATTTTAATTAGTAACTTTATGTCCCGATGCGATGGATGTGCAATAAAGGTCATAAGTAATTTGCAAATTTTAATTGTATAAAACATGATGTCCATATTGCTTAAATAAACATCTATGTTGAGAAGTCATAACTAAAATTCTTGGACCACCTTCCGACATCCGTCGACCGAAATTCTTGAAAACACCGGAATTTCTCAAGGAGTTGGGACCTATAGTTATTAATTAGCAAAGTTGAAAAAATATATATGTATAATATAATCGGATTCTAAGATTTCTTATTATCAATCAAACTTGCCTTATTTCGTTAAACTTATATAAATCCAGACCGAGAAAATTTTTTTTATCATATATTTTTTTGTACTATTAGAATTTAACCTTACCATTTTTGAAACATTCATAAAATATTTTATGTCTACTGCGTCAAACGGTCTGTTAGATAGTCACCCAAAAAGGTCTTTATTTTATATTTTACTGAAAAATTAATTTTTAAACCTTTTTTTAACTCTCGATTTTTGCGTTTGCAGACATACCGACATCATGGTATTTTGTCTCGTTCTAGGTGACGCAGTCGAAAATGCTTTCGTGGTTGATATCAAAGAAGACAAGACCGTTTCACATCTCAAGGATGCCATTAAGGAAAAGGCGAGTCTTGACATTCCCGCAAAAAAACTGAGGTTATTGAAGGTTGATATTCCTCAAAGCGGAGAAAACCAGAAAACTATAATACCCGTCGAAATAAACATTAAAGAAGAATTAGCAGGTGCAGATTGGCTCCATTCGAAATTATAAACGACCATTTTGGCGTATCTAATACTCACATCCGCATCATCGCGCAATCGCCCACCCCCACTGGTAAGTGTCTCGCAATGTTTTACCTCTCGAACAAAGATAGTTTCACTATTCTGTTTTCTATATGACATATTGAACACCTTTGCTCGTCATGCTTTGTAGACCAATGGCATACTAATGTATCTCGTAACATTGCAAACCTACATTATCAACCCCGATAACAAAGTAGTTATAAGATAGTATTTGAATCGCAATGTTTATATATTTCCTGACAATCAGCCTTTTTTATTTAGATGGCCTTGGCGGTACGTTGTTACCTCTTCGGAAAAACGATCGAAATTTTGAGGGCATTCATCTTGATGATCCTGACATCAGCTATAGGTCTGGGAAAATATATTTCTTAATCAAAGATCTTATAGATGAGAAGGTCCTTCTAGTCCGGGCTCCTCCCTACTCCGGCAAAACTTCGTTAGCACAACTTATAGAGTATCACTTAGTTAGCTCTTCAGAATATTCGAAGTACAGGGTGATAAGAGTTTCAATGCTTTGGGAATCGGCTGTGGGAGTGAATTGCAGTTGGGAGACGTTTGGGAAGTTATGGAAGAGGGTTATCGGTATAAGCTGGATTGAATGGGTAGAACAGTGCCAACAAATTCCAACGATTTTGATATTAGACAAAATTCAATTGATATACAAGCAAGAGCGTGGAATTGATGAAAGTAATGAAACGAATGCAGATGTATTCTGGAGAACTGTCAAAGGATGTCTCCAAGAAATGTCAAACATCTATATCATTATGTTTGGGGCATACGGATATCATAGTGCTAACTCTGCAGGACTTTCGACTCCTGTTGAGATACCACCACCGAAATGCAAAAGTCTT